GTGCTGCCCTCGCCGCTGCACGGACCTCCTTCAGAGCCGCGCGAACGCCCGGGCAGCCTCGGCAAGGTAATGCGGAACATTGATTTCCACGTGTTTTAGCGATTTCTCTCCTTTCCGATCGCATCTGGCGGTTAGAAGAAGCAAAGGCCGTGCGTGACCCAGTTTCTCTGTGAGGACCCGCGGCAGCCGGGTGATCAGAGTTGGGGAGCCTGTGGGCTGCGGCAGAGAAAGGAGCTTTATGAACGAAAACTCTTTGCTCATGAGCTAGCCGGGAAATACCGGTCTCCGGCATTGAGTCAGCAGATACAGCAGGTAGCTGTCAAGGAGTTGAGACTGCTTCCCATCACGGTACCTGAACCAGCCTTTTGACCACCGAGGTCTGAAATGCTTTAATCCATCACAGATCTTTTCTTCTGGACTGTGTCAGAGTTTCCAGCCATGTTGTTGATTCCTGGAGTCTTAAAACACAGATACAAGGAAATTTTCAAAATTTCAATACTACTACTGTCAGTGTAATATGCAAGTTGTAAAATACAAGTTATAGCTAGTTGCTGTTGTGCAGTAAGGCAGTCACCCGCCATAGCTGACAGTGTACCTCCTTGGCTACCGAATCTCAGTTCTAAAAGCAAAAGTATTTTTTCTCCTGACCTAGTATTTGTGTCACTCGTTATTATTGCCCTGAAGGGATGTAAAGGTGATGCTGAAGGGTCCCGGGGAAAGGAACTGAGTAGCAATATGCTTACTCGAGTGTACGTGGTATTCTGCTGAAGTCCTACTGAATGTGCCCCATTTCCTCTAAAGGGCAGAGATTCTGTTGCAAAAATGGAATTATCCTAATTAATAATTTAAATATCTCAAAATAAATAATGTATACACACGAAGCTGTAATAGCAGGCATCTTTTTGTTGTTCCTCTCTTACGGAAATAGCAGGCTGCTTTAGTGTGAATGAATCCTGACATGATTCTGGAGACTGGGCCAAGGTATCATTGATTATGCACTTTGAAGAAAAGTGGGAAAGGTAGAGGGAACATTTACAATTGTTGAGTCTCTTGGCATTGTGCTGTGTCCACAAAAGCCTCCATACAGAAAAAATAAACTTTCTGGGACAGAGGAAAATTCTGCAGTAGGTCCAACTATAGCAACTGTTGTAGATGCTGATTATTTTATAAACAGCTTTTCTGGGATAGCAGCTAGATAACTTCATTTTACTATGTGATGCTTTTCTGATGTCTGACTATTGCTTTCAAACATAACCTGACTGCTTTTTATAGAAGGGCTACAGTAAGCTACAGCTGGGGAAGCGGATCAGAAATGCCTCCTAAATAAATTGGGAGTTGAAACTGGACCTGTCCTTAGCCCTTGGTGTATGGATTATAGTTTGATCCTATGGGAGTACCTCCATAGTTTAAGTCTAGCATCAATATGCTGAGACACCAAAAAGGACATTTATGTTATCTGAGTGCCACAGGACTGAAAGATACAGAAAGATACAAAGAAGAAGAGGTGGGCATAACGCTTTGCAGGGCAGAAGGTCCTACGATTTTAGGCTGGACTTCAGTGATTGTACAGCCAAACGTGAGGAGCACGGTTTTCCATTGCAGGTTAATCGATCTATGGGTTAGCTGCTGCTGAAGAGAGCATTCCTCTTCTTGAACTGGCACTAGTGCTCATGACCACTTCGGCTGAACTGCAGTAGTTAATTTTCTGCCAGTCTAGCTCCTCTGACTATCCTGCTGTGGTGTCCGATGAGTAACAGTGGTGGTGCACAAAAAGGTTAAGGATGGAGGGATGGGACAGGAGGGAATGGGGAGGTGAGAAACAAGGGTGGCCCTTTCAGCAGCAGCTCTCTTAGATCAGTTTAGCAGTAACGTGAAATTACTCTCTTACAGTAGCCCTGAACTTCATGGCCCACAAAGGAGACAACATCACTGCAGTTCTTACTTTGCTCCTGCCCTAAATCTAGAAATGAGCCAAGTATGAGATCTAGTGTATCCAGAAAGCTAGCGTCAGACATAGTTTTAAAACCCTCAGGAAGTAAATTTTTTCTCTCCCAAGTTTTCAAATCATCGGCATACTCTTTACTCAGCTTTAATCACTCAGTTTTGTGTTGACTTAATGTAGCAATTCCATAGAAAGTTTTGGGAAGAAGAAATGGAAAATTCTTCCTGAATAAATTCTTCCAAGAGATATCCTTAATACTACAAGGTAACAACCACGATTCTGAAATAATCCCCAGGTTCATCAGCTTCTCTGTATTTACCTTCATGCTGTCTTTCTTCCAGTCACCTATGTAATCTCAGATCATATTATGTAGACCATGGAGATAGCCTTAGTATGCAAAAAAACTAGGCAAAAATTATTTGATTGAATTTGTCACTTCATAGTCATCCAGATTCATTAAGTGGATGCTAAAACTGTTGCTGACATCAAAAGATCTATGAATACATATTGGCTCATGTAATTTGTACCAGAGAGTAAAAGGTGCATGTTCACATCTGGGATGTGTGTTCAGGACAGACCTCTTTCATTTGGGGGTAGCGTTATGTTTGCTTAGGTAACCTGTTCATTTATTTATTTAATTCCTTCATATTTTTATGGGGGGTACTTTTATCAATGTGTATGTACCTATGTACCAAAAGAAGGTATTAAATCATGAAGATGCAGAATTCAAAGAATCATACCTGACATACTTATTGAGCTGTTCCTTAAGTATAGGAGATTTCATAGCATAAATAGCTTAATCTATTAACCTCTTAGGTATATAGGAGTTTTTTCCTAATATCCAAGATAAATCTTCTTTGTGGCTGCTTGAGGTAATTTCTTAACGCCCTACACTACTTGGTACAGAAAGCAATAACTAATCATCATTTGAATAACAGATCTTTAAATACTGGAAGACATACATGCCCACAGTCTTCCCTTTTTGAAGCTAAAGACATGAAAGTACTTCAGCCTCTCCATATAGGTGACATTTTTGAGAACTCTTACATGTTTTATTGCTCTTCTTCAGACTTGGATTTCTCTCTATATTTCTAAGAAACACTAAGCATAGCTGTTTAGCTCTTATCAATATTCAGTTAGGAAGAAATACCTCAGCCTTACTGCAGGAGATAATTGCCTTTTAAGATCTTCTGGTAAAGTTGGTTAAACTCAACAGCCTCTGATTTGTTCAGTCAAAATTAGTTTAGTTAGCCAATTAAAAAAATGGTTCAATTTTTAGTGAAGCAAATCAGGCGGCTTTCACAGCAGGCCAGAAGAGGCAGCTATCAGTGGTACGGAGCGTGAGGGCAAGGTGGTCACTGACAACCATATTAATTATAAGAGCTGTTTGCAGAGTACATGTGTGACTACATTTGAGTTTGATTATGAGAAAGTGATGTGGAACCATCAAGAACGCTAGTAAAACTGAGATTTATCCCATGTAATCTTTCTCCATTAAGCTAGTTATTTTGTTGAAAAATGAGGAAATCAGACTTTCTAACATTATTTGATATTGGCACCTTCCTGTCTTCTACATGCCTATGAAGTAAGTTGCCAAATCATTTATTTTCATGTCTTCATAGTACGAACAGTCTCGTGGCATCTGTCATGTTCCTGATTTTCATCTCCTTCTATCTGAAGTCTCCTAGTAATTTGTAGAAAAGCAAGTAGAGCTAAAAATGGACATTCACATATGCCAGTAATGTCACATTCAGTAAGTGTAGTTCTTCTTCTTTTAGATGTACCTGTGTCCAACTTTAGGGATGCACTATGCCTCCCGACAAGCCCCAAGCAAGGTATACGCTTCAGTCAGGCAGCTGACTGCCAAGCCTACGACTCCTGACAGACAGGGAAAACCAGTGGGGCTGTGCTGAGGGGCAGTGGCTCACACTCAGAAGTTCCTGTCGCTGGGGCTAGTTGCTCCAGCCTAGTCATTAAAGACTAGTGTCATTCTGTAATCATCCAAAGGTAATGTAAAGAGAGCAGGCTGTTGAAATGCGGGGTTTTTTTGGTCCAATTCGGTAAATGGTATTTTCCACGTTTTTTATTGTACAAAGGATATCAAACGTGGAGTTTAACTAGCCACTAGATGTCAATGTTGCTGTGCTAAAAGACAAATGCAGTTTTATTTGTTTGGCTGATAAAGTAATTTATTAAATGAAAGCACTTCTGGATTTAATTTTTTTTTCCAGTATAGAGTCAGTTACAAAAAGTATCATAGACAAGCCCATGCTATGTCCATTATTTCAAGAGCAGCTGTGTTGTTTTATGCTGTTTTGGAATTGCAATTACCATTTCAGTGTGTAATCATTGTTAGAAAAGTGCCTTTGAAAAAATAGCATCTGATTGTTCACCAGTTTCCTCCCTTGTTCCAAAATCCCAGATCTTTTTACAAGTAACCACAATCATTGTATCGCATTGCATTTGTTAATAGGATAAAACAGAGATAATAATATGATATCTAATCCTATTATATGAGTATAGAATTTCCTAAATTCCAATTATCGGTGGAAATTTTCCTCTTCATTATTGCTATTTAACACCATTGGAAATCAATGTCAAATACAGCATGTAGGGACAGAATTACCAGAACACTAAGGCTTCCAATATGATACACAAATTGGAAAACTTGGTTCTTTCGACAGTCTGGCCCTGGTTCTGTGTAACTAAGGGCAGAGCCAACAGATGATGGAATTTTAGAAGAGCATGTGAAGTAGAATTTGACCCATGGACCTTTCTTATTCCAGACTCTTGTACTTCTAGGATGAACAAATCACTCCAAACCTCCACAGCTATTTATTGCCTAGTGCAGTGTCAGACTTTTATCTGAAGGCAGCACTTCTGTTGGCCATCTCTAGAGCACTTTGAGACCAAAGTTTGGGAATTAGTTTTATAAACACATCCAAAGCTCAAGAAGAGGACAGTGGACATCTCAAATTCCAGGTTAAGCTTGTTCTGGTGCTAAGAGAAAAAAAATACCAAAGGCTTTTATTAAAAATGTAGTTGAAACTTTCAGTTCATGTGAAAATCTCCGAGAAGAAAAATATGGGGAAATTGCTTCATTATCATGGACTGAGCTAGTTTAAGTCATGCTTAACACTTTATTTGGTGGTAATATTACTTACACTCTTAACATGCTAATGAATCACAGATAAATAAAGACTTCTAACTTTTAATTTCTAACATCTATTTTAGTTGTCTTGACTATGAATACAGAATTCTGTAGGAATCTTATCATAGTAGCTTGAAAACCAGAATGTTCATTCATTTTGTTGCAATTAAGGGAACGCTCATAGTAACAACCTTGATCC